TGCCGCTGGTATAGCTCTCAGGGTCCTTAGGATACTCAAACCCCCTCACCACGATAAGGCGGAGACACCAACGAGGGGGTCGTATGATATAGCGAAAACTTATTAGAACTGATGGTAGTATAGATTTAGACCTCGGCTAAGTAATTCTGACTGAGAAATTGCATGTTATTTTCCTCAGTCTCTCCAGGCGTATGTAGAGATAGTTGTTTGAAACAGATCCTTCCATTATTACAATCCTGTCTCATCTTACATCTATAGGCCTAACCTCTGAAACCGAAACCGCGTCGTTATGCAAGCTAAGCGCCATTTAAACACCACGCATAATGGCCCAGTAGTGTGAATCCCGAGTTGTGTCAAGAAGGCCCTTCTAGTTTATTTTCTTAGGCTTGCAGAGTCAAGCACTCGGCGAACAAGTTTGCTCAAGCTTCTGACTTGTATTCGGGAGGTGCCGGTTCAAATTTCGACCTGACTGAGATTCTCGGCAGTCCCTCCAAACAAACGACAGGCTTCTAATCAAGATTCAGCCTCGTCCTTCCCAATTCAGTATTCTGTCTGTTCGACAATACAGGACTTTACAATCTGAGACAGCGTCGGCGTCGTCAGATACACATAGACCATAAACCCAACCTGGTGTACATTCGTTCTGCCACTTCTGATGTTGCGGAACGCATTTGTTAAAATTTCAGTTCCATCTTTAATGATACACAGCATTTTATAGATAGACTTGAAATGATTCTGATGATGGTGTATGCTGTAGAGAACTATTAGGCTTATTTTGGACTCTGTCCATCTTCTGGTATATAGAAGACAAGTGACTGAGACTAGCTCTTTATAACGGGCCCAACTGAGTGGGTTTATCCTGCCCCGTCCACCTGAGGACGGAGATAGATCCAGTCTCCGAAACGTTGTGTATATACCAGACGATGGCTAGAGTTCAAAATAAGCATAATAGTTCTGTACAACATTTTGTAGACCTTACATTTTAATGCCAAACATCACAAGTCCTATAGTGTGCAGCAGAAAGCTGTAATTGTAAAAGTTTGTTTAATAACTGGAAATGTTTTGGTTAGAGTAGAGGAAAAACTCTGCACAGGGTTTGCTTTATGTGAAAGACCAACAAAACGTAATTTGAAGAAATGGCTACTATAGTGAACCACATTTGTCTCTCTGCGTTCGTGGCTGGAGTTTAATGTGAAACTTTGGCATTCGGGAATGCTCCACAGAGAACGTAAAAGGGTTTTCAAATGTTGAAGTTGTTATTTTCAGGGTTAACCCCCCCCCCCATCCCCAACCGTTCGCTCGCCTGATATGGTAGGTGAAGCCACAAACAAATTTAATTCCATGTATCAATGTATACGACCTATATTACGCTTTTAACGTCTTTCACAAATTAATGCGAGCTGTGGCACAGCGAGAAAAATTTACGCATCTGACTTATCAGCATTTCCTTACATGATACGAGGTGGTATCGGAAAGTTCCCGTTGTAACTGTCTGGGTGAAAGAAGATGAGAGGGAAGCCAAGGCCACGAGAGCCTATTATATCAGTCTGCCACGTGACAGCGCGCTGTGAACACGCATCGTTTTTACATGATTGATTTTTCGACTTCATATTCCGTTTTGACTGCGATGGATGGCAAAATCGAGCAACGTGTCTGCATGAAGTTTTGCGTGAAGCTCGGTAAATCCGCTACCGAAACCCTTGAAATGCTTCGTGAGGCTTTCAGAGAACATTCTTTAAGCCGGACAGCGGTTTTTGAATGGCATTCAAGTTTCAAGGCCGGTCGAAAATCACTTGAAGATGAACGTTCAGGGCGACCAAGCACCAGCAGAGCGACAGATAATGTTGAAACAGTTCGAGAACTCATCCACGAAGACCGTCGCCGAACAATCCGTGAGCTCGTAGACACCGTTGCGATCACTTACGGAGTTTGCCAAGAGATGTTAACAGAAAATCTGAAGATGCGCCGCACTGCTCCTTCTTCACGACAACGCGCCCGCCCACACACCCTGAATAACCAGAGTTTGTGACTAACAACAACTTGCCGCGCCATAGCTCAAGCCGTTAGTCGCTGGCTTCCCACCGCGGCGGCCCGAGTTCGATCCCGGGTCTGGTGAAGTGTGATTTATAGTGGACAAATTGGCGCTGGGGCGGGTTTTCTCCGAGTACTTCGGTTTCCCCTGCCAATCTTCATTCCACCAAAGTCTCCATCGTCATAATCACCCGGGGCTGGTACAATAGGCCAATCAGTGGCCGCCGTGCCGAGTGGACCCAGTTCGACTCCACCCCCCACTAAACGAATTAAAAAAAAAACTCGGTTATCGTTCCCCATCCTCCCTACTCGCCGGACTTAGCCCCCCCCCCCCTGTGATTTCGCTTTGTTTCCCCAAACTGAAAATGAAACTGAAGGGACGACGTTCTGAAACAGTGGCTCGCAACCAAAGAGGACCGCAAGCGGTACTCGACGGTATTAAGGACAATGACTTCCACAATGCTTCTGAAGCTTGGAGAAAACGGCGGGTTCGCTGTGTACGTTCTCAAGGAGACTGTTTTGAAGGAGATGGCAGCCAAAATTGAGTAAGTTAAGCCAGCATTTCTTTTTTGTCCTAGTCCGGGAACTTTCCGATACGCAACTATCCCAGTCGTTATGAGTTAGGGATCACAGAAACTTAGTAGACTATAACGGACCCAGCAGAGTACGTGTCCCCCATTGAGACGGAAACAGATCCAGTTACCGAAACGTCGTGTTCTTTAGAATACCGGACGATAAACAAAGTGCCAAAATCCAGTAGTGTCGGGTGTGTACATTTAGTATGACGCAGCGAGTTACCACACCTCTTGAGAACGATACAGACAGTGTAAGCTGAGTGCAGTCTTCTGATGCGCATTTTCATTTGGACGTTTGTGTGAACAAGCAGAATGCTCGTTACTGGGCCTTACAAATCGAGAGATGGTTACTGGCAAGTCCTTAAATCCTAACCCACTTTCAGTGTGTGCGCTTCTCGTTGATATATTCGGTTCTGTGTTTATTGATGACTCAATCAAGACATGTAAAGGTAGGGTAAAAGTTGTCCCGCCGGTCACGGTAGCCGAGCGGTCTAAGGCATGTACTGTCTTCGCTCGCTTGGAAACCGGGATCGTGGGTTCGAATCCCACCCAGGGCATGGATGTTTAGTTTGTGTGTGTGCGTTTTTCTGTGTTTGTGTACAGGTGGAGGCTTTGCGACGAGCTGGTCACCCGCCCAAGGAGTCCTACCGAATGTGTAAGATCTAGAAAAACAGAAGTGAACGGAGAAGTTCATGGAGGTAGGCCTAGGCCCACTGGGGCTGTAGTGCCAAGGAAAAAAAAAGTTGCCCCTGTGCTTAACTAATTAAGCACTACGCCATGAAGACGTGCGGGGGTGGAGGCATACCTCCACCACTCTTGAACTCTGCACTAGCTGGAGGTGAGTGGTGGACTTTACGACCCGGCCGCTTTACCCTCGGGGAAAGAGCGCCCGGTACCCATCGGATAGGAGGCTGGGTGGGCCCCAGGGCCGGTCTGAACGACGTGGAGAAGAGAAAATTGTTGGCCCTACAGGGTCTCGAACTCCGACTCCTCAGCTGTCCAGCCCGTAGCCACTCGCTATTCCGGCTACTCTATCCCGGCTCCTAGACATGTGATATAATTAAAGAAATATGTAATTACATGAGACCGTCTCTGTGGTCTAGTGGCCAGAGTTCCTGGCTATAGATCCAGAGCATCCGGGTTCGATTCCCGGCGCTGCCAGATATTCTGAGTAGTGGGTCTGGAACGGGGTCCATTCAGCCTCGTGAGGATAACTGAAGAGCTATTTCAAGGAAATAACTTCGCCGACAAGCGGCCGTCGCTTGCGGACTAAAGCCACGGAGTTTCATATTGTAGTACTGGAAGCGAAATGAAAGCGGAATCAAGAGAATTACATTGATGGTTGTACAAGAGGATCTGCCCCTTATGTGAGGGGGAGAGGATTACGCTGAATGTATACACTAGAA